TATGTCATCGTACAACCGGCGTACTTTTTTTCTCTGAAACCTAAAAAATTCAATCAGTTCCCTCTCTCCAATACAACCCTCCTTTTCATATGAAATTTATTGAAGTCAACTTTCCAAAGTGTACTTCATTTATCCGTGTGAAATCATTCTTTCAATCTCGTTGAAACTTTTTGTTGTGGTTTCTGTAATGGAACTAACCTGCGATCAGGCTCTCAAAATTGGAAAACACCTGATCGCAGGTTATAATGGAACTGTCTGCTAAATCAACTTTTTCGTCGATACAACTCAGTAATGAATTGTTACAAAAACGTTAAATTGGTTTAAATCTTACATTGCCTTGATCAAGATATTCGCTGTGAGTACCATGAATTAACAGCTGTTTTTTGATCTCTCGCAAATGAGCTCACTGTCAGCCTTCATTATGATGCTAAGCGCTACACGCGTCTTGCTGGAAGGATATCGCATGATAACATACCACTATATATGTTCTTTCTACTGTTGTATATGGCGATCGCCGATATAACTGCGTTATGCACATGTTCATGGTTAGGGACGGACCATTATTTTTTTGGAGGGGGGGATGAAAAATTCTTAAAAAAATTGTTTGCAAAGACAAAAAAGTGCAAATAAATTGTTTGCACACATAGAAAAGAGGAAAAAAATAGTTTGCAAGCTAATAAGATTATGCAACATCAACCAAGGTTAATGACAATGAACAGAGTGCTTACCAACATACCCAGGGTCTTCACCCCAAAGCCCTGGGATGGGAGACGCTGGGCACATGTTGCAATCTACATATGGGTTAAATATTAATCTATTGAATACAGTCATTTTTTGGGGGTGGGGTTGTATTTTTTGGTATTTTTTGTATAAAATAGGTAATTTGACAAGTCCTGGTGTAAGACATTGTGTAGCGTAAATTGAATGAGAGGACCAGTATCAGGGCCTTTTTTAACATACAAGCGGTGGGGGGATGTCTGCCTTATGCCCCCCCCCTCACGAAATCACATTTGCCCCCCCCCCCGGAAAGTTCCTTTTTCCTAAATTTAAACAAACAAACCAGCGCCGAAAAATAACAAATTGATAAACAAAAAGTAAGTTTTAGGCTTTATCCTTTCTCCTTGTTTAACAAAATCGATTTAAATTGTTACGTTTTTCTACCTGGCACTAAGTAATGATGATAAATTATTGTTAATAATTTTTTATTTTTTGTGCGTTTTTTCCTTCTTTTATTTCAAATACAAGTATATTTAGCATAAATGTTAGAGCAAATTTAAATGCTCAGAATGCAGGAAATGGCATTTCAGGGCTTCAAATTTCAAAAAGTTTCTGGGGAAACATGCCCCCCAGACCACGTGGCCGTCAGCCATTCCTATCCTCCTCTAATATATTATCTCACAGAAAGGTCCCCCCTCACACGGGAAAATCTTTAAAAAAGGCCCGGACCAGTATACCAAAAAAACTATTAAATGTCTGTTTACATATTAAATTTATACTTCTGACAACACCACATGTTGTTCGATCACCAGCGCCGTAGTAACCGGGGGGTGGGGTGGCTGCAGCCCCCACAACAATTTGCTAATAATCATTCATTTTTCAAAATCATGCAGACCTTTATCATTTAATTCATGACAAACTGCAAAGAATGAAGATATTACCCATACTTTCCTGCAACTTATCCAATATAAAGTTTAGTACTACAGAATTGTAAATTTCGCTGTTTTCTGACCATCAGAATTCTGTCAAATCTTCCCCAAAGTCCAGGAAATGGCATTTCAGAGACTCTAAATTTAAAAATTTCCTCGGGTCTTCGGTCCCCGCTTTCAGCCCCCCCCCCCCAATCGAAAAGAGCTTCCTACGGCCCTGATCACACATGCAATAGTGTAATCGGGCACAAATTAAACTATATATATATATCAATTTATAATGAAATCCACAGCAATCAGATGGACAAAAAAATTGTTTGCAGAAGGAAGCAGGCGCAAAAAAATTGTTTGCAACGACAACAACACCAAAAAATATTGTTTGCGTTGACGAAATGTCCATCCCCACCTCCAAAAAAATAATGGTCCGTCCCTTAAACACCAAAATGTTGGAAACACCATACAGGGTGTATAAAAAAACAACTGAACAGATCTAGATAGAGAAAATGAGGTTGAAATAACGGTAAATAGCAAACCCATTGAAAGAGTTTCATCTTGGAAAGTACTTGGAATGCTTTTCCAGCAGAACCTGCTGTGGAACAATCACATCACAGAGCTAACTTCGTCCTGCTATGGCGTCTTAGCTGTTTTGAGGAAATTAAAGCGGTTTACGCCATTTCATATCAGGAAACAACTCGCGGAGGCTTTGGTACTTTCCAAATTGGATTATTGTAATGTTTTATACAATGCTTTGCCGACCTATCTTATAAAAAGATTACAGAGAATACAAAATGCGGCGGCAGGTTTTGTGCAAGGTCGATATGCAAATACGGAAAATGTGTTGGACATAAAATGGTTGCCGGTAAAGGAAAGAATTGAACTTAGTATAGCAAAATTTACTTTTAAATCTCTAAATTTTGACAATTGGCCATCGTATTTATCAGTCCACTCATGTGAAGCATCACGGCGGGTATTACGTAGTAGTAATAATGGCAGGATGTTAGAAATTCCTATAACAAATAATACATTTGAACATTCTGCAGCTACCATATTTAACAGTCTACCACAAGAAGTTAGGGACAGCTCATTTTATCGTAGTTACGTTAAGGAAGTAAAAACTGTGCTCACGGAAAAGAGCGCGTACTCGTATTTTAAATTTGAAATTTTTCAATAGTTAGGATAATTGTAATTGTTGATATATATATATATATATATATATATATATATATATATATATATATATATATATATATATATATATATATATATATATATATATATATATATATATATATATTATATAGTCTTAATAGTTGGATGAATAGCCATCGGTAATGTGGAAATGCCTTATTAAACCATTATTATTATTATTATTATTATTATTTGTTTATTATTATTATTATTATTATTATTTTTGAAATTGCTCTCAATTTTGCATAACAGCTATTAGTATCCAGTTTTTGATGCATATAGTTTCTTTGGGTACTTATAATGTAGAATAATGAAAAAAATTTCTCGAACACAAATTTTGTAAACCAGAGAGGTGTGTCTTGTCCGACAAAATAAAAATGGCTTGCGCACGAGATTTAAAAGATATAATCGCATTTTGAGTTAATGGGTGAAAACTGTGTTGGGTGTTTAATTGCTGCACGAAATTTCAGACAATTTGCTTCAGTTTAAACCCTTTAACTATTCACGCAAACTTACATTTACTGGCCTAAAAATCCAGCCATTTGCATGCTAAAACTCATTAATAGGCAATTAATTCCAGCTTTTAATTTATGCGCGCAGTGGATGACGGTTAGTAAGGTATCATATTGCTGATTATGCTAAAACATTTCAATAAAAACTGCCGAAACAACCGAAATATTTCAATATTTACAAGTATAAGCTATCACTCAGTGTTTACACTGTCGCCATCTTTTTTCAGCATAATCGGAAATATGATACCTTAGGGACGGACCATTTGATTTTTGATGGGGGGGGGGGGGGTAGATTTTCAGTTTGCTCGATATTTTTTTCCGCCTCCTGACACTGTTCGATTTTTTTTTGTCAGTCAGAGGACTTGCACGATATTTTTTGTATGCATGTATATACATAATTTTTTAGTTTTTTGTTTTTACATTTTTTGTTATATAATAGGTAATTGGACAAGTACTGGTGTAAGACATTGTGTAGCCTAAATAATGAGAGGACCAGTATTCAAAAAATGGTTGTTCTCCATTTCTTTACTCCGACTCCTATGATGAACATGTACGTAAAAAAACTAGGGAAACTACGAGGTAAAGTAGGTGAAAGGTGAGGATATAAGAGTGAGAGATTGAAATTGAGTAGGAAAGGCAACCCTACACGCGTTTCGACCAAACAGTCTTCTTCAGCATGGTTTTTTAAGGGGGGTATATAGAATTTGCAGAGGAGAAGAAAGGAGAGTTTAGGGGTTCGGAAAATAATGTGAACTTTGATCCTCTACGTAGCAAAATCCACATCAGAACTAGCTATAGCTATCTATTGGTCATATCGTATCATTCTTTTACTAATCTCTGTTTTGGTTTTGTTATATAATTATGTACATGTTTTAATTATTACACCAGTACTCTTACACCACTGTCACTTACACCACTACTCATATATTTTAAACAAAAAATCAAACCATACACGGTGTTATCATTATTTTTATCCCTTATGTATCACTAATTGCCAAACGCCCCTATCCCTGTCTTATAAGCTCCTACACCACTAACACCATATTTGGATGCAATCACCTACAGTCGCATGATCACCCTTACCATCACAATCATTCAAACTCACTATACCATTGAGTAAGTTAACCCTTAATTGAAGGACTTGCAAATTTGCTTCATTTCACCAATACGAACGATAAACAATAAAGTGCGTAGTGTTGGAATGTCCCGCAAACAACAAGACCTTTGGTAGGATAACTTGACTAATAACATGTATAGTCGTTACATCCTTTCACTGTGTAATTGGTTATTTTCAGTTATTTTGTAAAATTTGTTTTCCTCTTTGTCTCACATTATTTTCCGAACTCCTATAAACTCTCCTTCCTTCTCCTCTTCAAATTATATCTACACCCCTCCCCTCTTAAAAAACCCTACTGAAGAAAACTGTTAGGTCGAAACGCATACCGTTGTACGCTATTCCTACTCAATTTCAATCTCTAGCTCTTATATCCTCGCCTTTGATCGTGTCCCATAAAAATTTCCACCTATTTTAGTTTCTACGGCCGTGATTTAATCGTAGTTTTCCTAGTTTTTTTACGTACATGTTCATCATAGGAGTCGGAGTAAAGAAACTTAACTAATAAAGAACAACCATTTTTGGAATGATACTGGTCCTCCCATTATTTAGGCTACAGGGCTTTAGGAAGCTCTTTTTGATTGGGGGGGGGGGGCTGAAAGCGAGGGCCGAAGGCCCGAGGAAATTTTTAAATTTAGAGTCTCTGAAATGCCATTTCCTGGACCTTGCAGCCCCCAGCTAGGGCTACACGCGGCTCTGGGCTACACGCGGAAATGCACCGAATGGCAAATAAGGATTACCACTCGAAAGTCTTGCTCGATATTTTTTTTCGTCCGTTTATTCTTGCACGATATTTTTTTAAAGTTCGAATTGCTTGCCCGATATTTTTTTTGGGATTCTACCCACCCCCCCATCAAAAATCAAATGGTCCGTCCCTTAACTATTACATTTAAAAACCAAACCCCCCTGTCGAGGACCTCTGCTTTGGAGATTTTTACCCCTCAGGAATGCAAAGAAATCTGTGTATTTGACCACAGATTTGACCCTTCTGGAATAGAGGTCCTCGACAGGGTGGGGATTGGGTATTAAATGTAATAGCCTAACATGGCCAGGGACCACGATCGCAAGCAAAATTTGGTTGTTGAGTGCTTCTCCTTAACAATATTGCTAAGAACCGTTTCGCACTGTTTAAACGTTCAGTGATCGATGTCATAGACAAGATGATGTGTTTTGCCTCGTGGTTCAAAGGCATCGCAACCAACAGCCACCATAACCAGCTGGGGCCATTCTCATTTGTTCCCTGGAGTGCATCAGGCAATCGCCCAACCGCTTTCACAATGCATATCTTCTGCTCGCTCGGTAGCTTTTCAAGCCATTGTGTCATCATGTTGTAGACTTCGCAATTGAGTTTAGTGTAGTCGCTCTCATCACACTCATCCTGAAGCCAAGCAACCTTGGCAGTGTTGTAGCCATCGTGTAACCCTCGCTCCAAAACTTGAAAGCGCCTGCTGCCAACCGTGTGAACAACAGACCTTCCATCGGGCAAGAAATTGACGTCGTTTATATGTAACATTGTTCCAACCGTCGCAAAAGTTTGCTCGGGATCTGGAGCGCACATGCCAAATTGTCGCGAACCGCTTTCGATGCACCGCCGTATCATGAGCTTGGAGCGAGGTTCAAATATATGCAGAGGACAAGCAATGTCGGGCACTGCCAGTGTGCATACGAATATCGGTATCTCATCCTTGTTGCTTTCGCATCTATAAGAAATGAAATAAAGAGAATATAGTTTCAGATTATGATCCTTGTTTATGAAATAGCTTCTTCTGTCAGTTGTCAGATGTTTTTGCAAGATGTCCGTTCAAATTGCCGTGTACCAATATTGTTTTAATCAATCAAGCCATACTTGATAACCATAATATTAGCATACGCGTGACCGAAACACGTGAATCAGCGCATGAGCGTGCTTCTGTTTTGGCCCGTGCGTGGATGCACGGAAACGTTTAAACCCTTATAAACTTTACTGATGAAATAACCAATTCAATAAAAGGATAAAATTCGGTTTTCTGTATGATTTAATGTGGATTTGTTGAGGTAAGTAGTACTAATATAAAATTTAGAAAGATTTAAACTTTTTCGTTTAATTATTAATACTCTAACATCATCTGACGAGATCGTCAACTGAAAAACATTCCGTCATTATTCATTAACATATGGCAGACACCATTTCTAGATATTTCAAATTTGTTGTTGAACTGGGTCTGGGCAGGGTGATAAAAATATTTTATATTGCTTAACTGATATTTTCGAGATATTTAAATTTTGTTGTAACGAATCGATTAGCAAAACCGGAAAAAAGAATTGTAGAATTGTTACGAATTCGCAATGGCGCAATGCCAATGGTTTGAATTATTCATCATAAATGATAATGCTACATGCATGTTATATATTATCATCGGTGGCCGATTACATAACATTTTGCACTTTTTATATTGGCCTGCTTTGACAGTATTTTTTTTAAAAAGCATGCATGAATTTTAAGTGTTAATTGTGCTATCGTCGTCTGATACTTGTATTTTATAAGCGTTTTATTCAACATTTTTTCTTACGTAAGACGTTCTATGACGCGCGCGCTGGCTTTTCATCGCGGCACGTGAGTTCGACATGCATTAAGAAAAACGTATCGACGCCAAGGTGGTTTATTTCTTCATTTTTGAAAATTTCAGAACTTTCTTACGTGTAACAAGTCATGGTTTAGGGGCTGTTTATATATGGGGCAAGCCATGCGTGACCCAAGATCTTGCTAAAGTCGTGGGATGGAATTTGTCATATAAACGCAATGACCCAGGCTCGCTTGCCGACTATACTATAGACTATACTACTAGTACTGGCAAATATAATGGTGTTAATGATATCTTCCCGACGGATAACGATCTCAGAAGGTTTCTGTGCAGAGATTTGGAACGGAGGTTTACATAACCCAAGAACAGAAGGAGAGCATGCATTGAACGAATTCAAAAACGAGTACTTAGCCTGGCTTCCAGTTGAGTGTGTGTTAAAACTCAGGGATGCGGTTATGACATTTAAGTGCATGAAAGGGTTAGCTCCGCCATACTTGTGTGACAAATTCGAAATGAGATCAAAGACTCACAGTGTTAACACCATTTTGCGCAGCCAGTGTTAACACCATTTTGCGCACCATATTGCGCAGTGTCTATTTGGAATGAGCTCACAAATCATATTAAAGGCATTGACACTTTGGACCGGTTTAAACTAGAATATAAATGTCATTTATTGCATGGATTTTTAGAAGGTAGTTAATAGTTTTAGACAATTTGGGCTTGTTTAAATTAGCATATAAACGTTTTTACTGTATGGATTTTATTAGGAAGTAGTTAACATTTTTTAAGTGACATTACTAATAATTATAAATTTTAATTTGTGTTTGTATGTATGTATGTATGTATGTATGTATGTATGTATGTATGTATGTATGTATGTATGTATGTATGTATGTATGTATGTATGTATGTATGTATGTATGTATGTATGTATGTATGTATGTATGTATGTTTGTGGGTGTATATATATTGTTTGTAGCATATAAATGATTTGTAATTACCTGCTGAAAAGCCCTTTTGGGAGCAGGCAATATTGTAATAATAATAATAACAATAATAACCAAGACTATACGCTCAAGCAATAAC